AGAGAGAGAGATTCTGGTCCCCCAGCTGCTGCCAGTCAGGTACCCAGTATAAAATTTATTGCCAAGAAGCATTGTTACAAAGCAATAATCAACCAAATATTAATCTCCTAACTTTGTGTGCTAAGTATATATTTCAAAGAAGGCCACGTTAAATTGACCATGATTGTTTTATGACAGCAATAAAAGATTAAAACATATTTTTATAGGAGATGTATTTCTACATGGATGACTTGATATACGGTATATACAGAGAAATCATTTTTATACCAGAAGGTGCAGATAAGTGTTTCCAAGAATTTTTTTTCTTCAGGTAATTAGTTGTCCTGTACTGCAGCTAAAAGAACAAAACATTTCATTTTTAGTTTCCTTAATCTAAACTTTTAGAGTTGTAAACACTGTGAAATTGTGTATGTTAGAGACAGGGAACACGACTGAGGTCCATTTAAACAAAGATAATGTGATTGTTGTTGTCCTTTTAGCATAGGTTTCATATTGCACCTGGGTTAGCTACCCTTTGTTTCCAGGCAAACTAATCAATTCCTGGCATCACCTTCATAATTCTGTGATAGTAAACACTTGTCTCCATGTTTATTATGGTCTTACAGTTATCAGTTGTATTATTATTAAACTATATCAGCATCACAATAAGTGGTCCATATCACAGTTTGTTTTACTCCCAGTCCAGCCTCCATTGTTTTTAACTCTTCTCTTTGACCGCCCTGTCAGAGTAACCATCTGTGCAGCAGCAAACCTCCGTCCATAACACACCTGTTTAGAGGGGTTAGTGCTCTGTTTCACTTTCTTAGGATGAAGTCACCTGATAGGACGCACTCTTCTTTTTGAATAAAGACCCAATCCTCCAACCCCTTTCATCGTAAAACCTAAACATTTCCATCACAGACCTTACGGTTTAGGATCTCCCAGTGGACATATAGTTTGACTTTTCAATGCACCAAGTTTCTTCACAAAGGTAAGGTTATCRTTGCTTTTTATATGAGATTTCTATTTATTGATGTCATGACAAAGGTAGCCATAGATGTTTTACTTTTTTAATAGATGCAAAAACTGTTTGCATTTTTCCAAAGTTTGACAAAAGATTTGAGTAACTGTTTTTGCAACCAAAAACAAGTATTACATTGTGAGTGACATGGAAGCAGCATTTATATAAAACTGTTCAGAAATGTTTCAAGTGCTTTTTTCCTGCTGAGGTATTTCTCTGGCTAGTTGTTACTGAATTTAGTTGTTTTGATAGTTGGTATTATATAATGTTATCAAACTGTGCCTAGAGTTTACCCAAGAGCCTCCTGGGAAATAACACCATACCACTTCTACTGAAACCAGTCAATCAAAGGCTAATTTAGTTCCTGAGGACACCCAGCAGCCAGCAGGATCGGCATGGCGCCCCCTGCTGAGGACTATTACTGCCGCCAGTTCCAGCCCAACACCTTTGACCCCGACCGCTGCGGCTCGTGCCTGAGGCCCAGTCACATGCACCTCAGAACCACTACGGCTGGATTTGGACAAACGGGCGATCTGCACGAGTGGGTAGGAGCGTGACACATTCGGCAGTGAATGTTGGGAAAAACAGCTGGCTACAGGCTTTTGAATTAAAAAAAAGGTTTTATATAAAAGTAAAAGAAGAATATTTTCATAAGGGAACAGCTTCTGAGAAGGAAATCTCAGGTTTTAACATAACTGATCATTATTATTATTTTTTATATAAAACTTTAGAAAAAGAAGGACAATGTACAGCTCAAACATAAAACTTACCATTTGATGTGCCATACCAGATTATAACATGAGCCAATGAATATCTTAACAGGTTACAAATAAACAATAATAAAATAAAAGCAGAAAATAGAACACTACAGGTTACTTTCTACTCACACTACACAATGGTAACACTTTACAATAAGGTACACAAAAATTGCTAACTACTCAATAACAAAGAATTCCAAAGAGAAACTACTCGGGAACTATGGGAACATGCTTCACTTTACTTTAGGGTACACAAAAACAGTAGTTAATGGTCAGTTATTGAGTAAGTAATAATTAATTACTCAGTAATTCCTTTTTGGTGTCCTTAGTAACTACTCAGTAACTATTCATCAAAATTGTGTAGATGGGATAAAAACCTACTCACTATTTAATGACTAAATATACGAAGGTTTTGGTAAAAACTATTCTACCTTTTGTATAGTGAGGTTATGATGTCAGCCTCTAACACAATCACCAGGTGAAGGATGAACGACACATCAACGTGGCATTTGATTCTGTATAATTAATTAATGACAGCGTGTTGCAGTCCTTAGGGAATGGGTGGAAATCTGATACGTATGAGACGCAAACAGATACCTTCAAGTTGCTCAGGGTCTTTCCAGTAAAAATAGCTTTTACACTACTGGGAATCTCACCAAAGTGGCGAAACAAATAAGGGCTTAAMTTTGTCCTCAAAAACAAAAGGCACATTTTACTTTTCTCAAACCAGCATGTATCAAAATCCAAAACTAAAAGCAGCATTGACCCTTTCGTTGTCTGTGTTTTAATGAGATGTAAAAAACAGACAGAAGGATCAAGACGAAGACGAGAAAGACTCAGAGTGGGCGGCTCTGGTAATGCAAAAGCACTGGAGCAATGAAATAATGATGAGCGCGAGCAGAGTAGCTTCAGTTACGTCCTGTACGGTCTAAAAGAATTGGTTCAGCTGTAGCAAATAGAGAAGTGAGGGCACAAGGAACAGAGCTGCGTGGCTTTGACAGCAGATTTGGCAAAAGGACTGCAAACCTTCACAAGTGAGTGAAATGAGTCTCAGTGTTTGGACTCTGGTTTTTAGCTGTCTATAGATATGTATTTGCATGGTTCATGTTGTGATAGGACAGGTTTGTTGTAAAAAGTTTGTTCTTTAAAGGCACTTGTCCTTAATGCAGGGACACACGAGGATGTAAATGACAGTCTTTGCTTTATGTTAGATTATGTTAAAATAGAAAAAAAAGAATATTTCAACAAGAATACTGCAAATGTCCTGGCCAATAAATAGCCAAATAAAACACAATGTTAATTTAAGCTTTTAGTTCAATTGTTTGCTTCTACTTAAAACGTACAAATGTTTAAAAAAGTGTTAATTTGCTCTTCAAACCAGGACTCAGATGATGATGTTGGTGGTGGTGGTGGTGGTGGGGCCTTGTCTGAGGGGGCCACAAGTGCCAGTAGTGATGACGTCAGTGGCGGATGGACCTTTGAGTGGAACCTGGTGCACAGTCTGAGTCCAGAGTTGGAACTTGAGAACTGTGACAGTGACATACAATCCAGGTGAGTCTGTCTTGTCTGATTAAAACAGAAATCTTTTACTACGAACCTGACATGTCCACATGTGCTGCTATGATGGTTCTCTCCTATCAGTGGTTGCAGTGCTCTTCACCGAGTCGTTAAACTCAAATAAACGCAGCAAGGAAGTTGGCTGTGACCAATAAATTCCTGTGTTTGGAGAACACATGTCGGAACAAAAAATTAAGCTCTAAGTTCAGGATTCTGCATCTAAAAATACAGCCCAAAAAAGCATGTGCAAAGAAAATATATCTGGACCTAAATTGACGCCTAAATGAATTCTTATCAGTGAAAAAGATTCCTAATTGACATAATAAGATCTGTCAGATAAATCCAACTTTAAATAGTCTAAATACGTTTGGTCCTGTTGTAACGTTTAAGTTTGTATACAGGAACACCTAAAAATAAAAAAGCGTGATGCAACATGACTGGATTTTATTTTCTCCAGTTTTCCAAATCAGTGGGACAGTCCAGAGAGGAGCAGGTCTCTCAGCTCAGGGAGGCAGAGTGCTGGTCTAAAAGAAATGACTCGACTGGACTCTTCTCCTCCCCGAGACACTGGCAGCTCCTGGATGGATGAAAGAGGTAGAAACTTGTCCCGTCGGGCCTCAGGTATGTTACATAAATGAMTTTATTTTTCTTCTGAGACAATGTAGAATATTCTTTTCATAATTTGACTGCAGTCTTGTTTGATTTTCAGAGTCCAGAGGAGACAGGGTCAAAGAAAATGGCTACTTTTCCCCAGACAGAAGAGGTGATGGTATGGAGGAGGATAACAAGCGTTTCTTTCGTTACTACGAGAGGGGACACCCCCTTCCAAGCAACTATGTTCCTGAGCCCAAAGCCTGCGTCCCATACAGGAACGTTAACCTCGGCCTGCCCTCCCAGAGACGAAACACAGAGACGTACATGCAGCCGACTTGGAGAAGTGAATCCCCGCAAAGATACACGTACCACTCCAACTTCAGGCGGGGAGCTGACTCTCAGATGAACTCTCCAACACGTCACAGCTCCGTGAGTCCGGACCGCTACAAGCTGACCGAATCTCCTGTGGGACCTCAGAGGGGCAGTTCTCTCTGTAGGAGCCAGGCCCGGTCTCAGTCCTCTTCACACGGCTCCCTCCCCATTCCATCTCAGGGTTCATCACGTCACACATCAGGCAGGTCCAGTCCCTCCCGCAGGAGGGGGTCTGCAGCATCTCGTACCATCTCACCCACCAGGACCTCTTCCTCCCACAGACGCACAGACTCTTCACTGTTACATAGTGGCGGATATGAAGACCAACAGATCTGCAGCCGAGAGTCCAGAAGTCCATCACAAGCTTCCAACAAACACAGTTTGGATTCTGAGAAACTGTACAGAAATCTTGAATCACTCTCCCGCCGTGGCTCCTCTGCCACGAGACAGAGTTTGTACGATGGAGCTCGAGCATCACCTCAAACCAGAACAGATATCAGCAGTTTGACCAACACTCAATCCTGCAACAGCCATCAGGCTTCTCCCTCCAGGAACAGCTACAGTCCTCGCAGCCACACCTCCCAAAGGGAACCTGACTCCAGGGACAGCAGACTGAGTCATTCCCAAGGCTCCTGGCAGGGGTCTTCACACTCTGCACTCAGTCTGTCCCAATCCCATGGTTCGTCCTCCTCGAGGCGGGCAGCAGATTCTCAGAATCCTGGTGGATTGTTGTCACATGCTACAGTCACAGACATCGATAAGGCCGACGAGGGAGGTGAGAAGGTCAGCGCCGAGAGAAGCAGAAGCAGTGTGAGACGAGGCATGGAGGTCTTGCTAATCTCTGAACCTAAAAAGCCTCCAGTAGATCCTGAGGAGGTAAGTAGATCAGGTCAATTTTTTTTCTCCATTAGTTACCTTGTCTCACACTAAAATAATTTTATTATTGTGCAGTTGGTGGATGTTGACAGATCTGTTTGTTTTCTGATGTTTTAAGCACTCCTCAAAAAATGTTTCAAGTATCCAGTCAGTATTTGTTTATCCCTATTTATATGTGATATTTCATTTTATGTATCTTTTTAATTTTTCATCATACCTCTACCAATAATGTCAACATCAACTCTCCACGTAAGAAACGTGAAATTTTTCAAATCATTGTGAATCCAAGGTGGGGATGACCATGGACGACTACATCATGTTGGCCGATGTACCAAAGATTCAGGTGGAGTCAGAGGAAGAGTTTCCAGGACTGAGACGGCGAAACGAGAGTCCCAGTCCCTGCAGGGAGCAGAGATCCAGAACATTCAGGTATGTGATACAAGTCAGTACAATGTTTTCACATTTCCAGATGATGATTTAATAGTCTTCAACACTGCTGTGCTGCTCCTGGTTAAAAATGACCATTAATAAGAAATAAATGTATGAGACATTAGGTGTATAAAATTACCTTCAGCGATTAGACATATATCCTTTCCAATATTGTTACATATTTTTTTCCCACTGGAATTATTCCATAAAATCACACGACCATTGGAATCTTTAACAGAAAATTACACCTCATCATTCTTTAGCTTATTTTTTCTTCTCAAATATGTTTTTAAATTATCTTCCCCTGCTGGAATCTTTCCATAACCAAATCTTTTCAAGACAGAATCTCATCCCAACTAAGTTTTTTAACCAAAACTTTCATTTCGTCACATCTGGTGTTCCGCAGGGCTCTGTCCTGGGACCCTTGCTGTTCATAATTTATCTTTTCCCACTTCGTTACATTTTTCGTAAACATCATATTCAGTGTCACTGCTACGCAGATGACACTCAGCTCTATCACTCAACCAAACCTAACTCTACACTCCCACCTTCGTCTATCACTGATTGTCTTCATGAAATACAACTTTGAAACATTCTTAGATTAAATTGCAATAAAACAGAAACTTTTTACATTGGCTATAAATCAACACCAAGTAAACTTCATAACTTCTCAATTCTGGATGACACCTCCATCCTCCATCTTTCCCTCCCCTCAGGTCAAGAGTCTGGGTGTCGTCTTCGATAACACTCTCTCCTTCGCCTCTCATGTTAATTATATCACTTGTTCAACCTATTTCCATCTTCTCTCACTCCACTCCTGTTCTAGTCCACTGTCTGGTTACCTCCCATTTAGATTACTGTAATTCACTACTTTTTGGACAACCAGAGAAAACCCTCCATAAACTACAACTGGTTCAAAATTCAGCGACTTATATCATTACACGGACCCCCTCAATCCATCACATCACACCTGTTCTACAACAGCTCCATTGGCTTCCCATTTCATATCGTATCAACTACAAAATACTTCTCCTTACACATTTGATATTACCTTCAAAGCTGTACACAACTATCTTTCAGACCTGCTTCATGTTGCTACACCTGCCCGTAATCACTCCCACCTGATCTCGTACCAAAGACTCGTTGCCACATTTCAAAGCCAAACTCAAAACTCATCTGTTTAAAGTAGCTTATGCACTGTGATTGTAACTTTTAATTAAATTCTATTTTGTACCTATTTTTAATGTGWATTTTAATATTGTGCCTGTTTTATGTTAAACTATGTAAGGTGACCTTGAGTGTCAAGAAAGGGGCCCACAAATAAAATGTATTATTATTTTTATTATTATTTCACTGAAATCTTCCCCTAATTCTCTTGACAGAATCTTTATCATTTGTGAGCACGTAAGTTCATAAAATGATCTGTCCTTTCATAAGTTGATGTTATCTGTTTTATGGTGGGTTTAGAAGTGATTTGGTCACAAAATGAAGAACAAACAACAGGAGTGTTAAACAGTTCTGTCTCTGCAGGCATCCCAATGAAGCAGACGTCTACAGTTCAAGGCTGGAGTTGGATGAGAGGAGGAGGGGCAGAGAGAGGGGGAGAGACAGACGAGAAAAATATCGGGACTCTGACACGAGACGGTCGTCTCGTCGACACTCAGCTGCATCTTTTTGCACACAGGTAAGATTCAAATAACAGTAAATCCCATGGCAAACTTTAAGCAGAAACATCTGGTTTGTTTTGTTTCTTTCCATGAAGACCTCAGATGAACAACGTGAAAAACACAAAGCTTTAAAGGTGAAGGAGCGAGCTCACTCTGCCCGCCCACAGACCCAGGTGAGCACAGACTGATCACAGGCACCTGTAAAAATCAATCACAAATGTTTCCACAGTAAATGGGTCATTCATGTTTTTGTTCTTGGTGCAGCTTGTTGATATTTATTTCTCTTCTCTTCCATGAAGCTCTTAAAAAGTCCTTGCTCAGCTTTTTGTTTTGTTTTGTTTTAGGGCAGCATGTGTTCGTGATTTATCACTTTTATTCATAGGTTCAAGAATACTTTTGCAAAAAGGGATGTTTCTAAGGAAGTTTTGTTCCCTGGAGTGTGTGAAGTGAAAATAAAAAGTTTTCTGCAGTGTTTTATGCTGCTTCGTCATGTTCAAAACTGCAGAGTCATTGGTTTTCAAAGAAAAAAGTCATTTCCCTGTGCAGGACGTTTTGGTTTTTAACGATAAGAGATAAGTGCAATCACACTTCAGTGACTTCCTCTGCTTCATGTCAGGCGTCATCCCTCTCTTAATTATAGTTTTGTTTTCCCTATCACCCACATTACTAACATCGGACACTAAAAAATGCATGTAAGTATTTCATTTTGCATTAACCAGCTTTCAAATGATTCTCCTAAAGCTTCCCCAGTTCCTCTTTCTGCTCCTGTTCACAGTAATTAAACATCGTCCTTTCCGCATTGCATTTCTGCAAAATGTTTCCCATTTTTAGGGGATCTTTCTCACCTTTCTGCATGCTTCAGAATGATGTTACCTCTCTGTGCGCCGGTCTGCATGARGGTTTCCTCTTGCTTTAGTTTCGCAATCATTTGTGAGACGCAAACCACAGCAGAGTGCTTACTAACTACTTCACTTTAATACTTCATGTGCAGATAATTGAACTCAAAGGGTTGGATGTCCAGACTGGATGAACAAGGCAAGGTAAATGTCTGGTTTGGGAAATTTTGACTCTAGTATATTGAAAGAGAGGTTTTTCTTTGAGTTGCAGTTGTGTGTGCTGTTTTGATGTCTGACAAACGTTAAACCCAAAGAACAGACATGGTTTTCTTGTGCTACAGTCATATTATGTCCTGTGTGTGTGTGTGTGCATTCAGCCTACAATCATGTTCTTTAATAAACATGATCAGAAAGTAATTTGCTGTTTTGTTTCTGCAGTGGAGGAAACATTGGTTTGTTCTTGGTGATTCTACATTGAGGTTCTACAGAGACTCAGAAGCTGAGGAGGTATGAATATGAGAAAAATTTAAATGATTTCATGTAGTTTTCCCCCCCAAATCACAAGAAATCATTCCTACAAGTTAGGTTGTTTGTTAGACTGACTTGAAGCTCTTCTTGTCGCGCTGCAGTCAGATGATTTGGAGGGAGAGATCGATCTGACATCCTGTGTGAACGTGTCAGGCTGTGATGTAGAAAAAAACTATGGACTTCAGATCCAGGTTTGTTCTAAACTCGCGTTTTAAAAACTCACAGCTCAATGGGCAGTCGTTGAGATGACCCACTTCCTACATGTTCACAGCAGCTACATGGTGAAGCTGCTTCCTGTTTAATTCTCTCTTTCTGTGTGTGCGTGCGTGTGTCTGTGTGGTTTTATCTCCTCCAGACAAGAAGTGCAGTGTTCACTCTTTCTGCTATAACATCCAGAATTCAGAGGAACTGGGTGAAGTTACTGAAGCAGGCGATCCAGAGCAGGCAGTGAGTTGAACTTTACTCTCAGTTCATGCAGCACACCGAAGAAACACTCAGATACACGAACTTAATTTAAATAAAAATCAACAAGCATTCCTGCTAATAGGTATCTAATGTACTCGCAAATATATGTAATTTTTGTTGATACATACAATAAACTTACAGACTTAATTTACTGCACCAAACTTGTTTTAAGAACATTTAAAAAAATTTTTTGTTGTTATTTAACTTAGATTTTAAAACACAATAAAATGCATAAAATCAAATAGTTTAAAAGTAAGCCTTTAAAAGTCTCAGCTGCATTGGGACTAACTGTTACCTCATCGATGCCAGAATTAAACTTTTTCTCTTGGTGTTTCAAAAAGCCATTTATCCAAGGATAATATTTAATGTTCTTACCCCTAACACAGAACCACACTTCAAAATGTGTGAAACGTTCCTCTAAAACACAGTGGGATGAATGTGCCCACTCAGATACTGCACAGAGTCCACTATTGTTTCAAAAAAAATTATTGCAGCACACTGAATGATATTTAACAGTGAAGTCGGTCAGTGTTAATTATTAAAGGTTTAATTTTAAACTGGGAGACATTAATGAATCAATAAATATTAAATATTTGAAGTCAAACGGATGCATGTTGTGGTAGTTCAGAGATAGATTTCAGCAGCTTTACTGTCCGCTTGTCTTTTTGGCACACAACTGGAAAAATGGAAGAGAAGATGAAACAGGAAGTGGAGGAAGAGTGAAATGGAAGAGAACTTCAAACAGTGAAGAGAATCATTCATTTGGAGGAGGGGATGGTTGAAAAGTCCAAAAAGTAATGGGATGGAAGGTTGAATACAGGCTGAACAAATAAATATAAAATAGTATTTAATTTTTTTTCTTATGTTCAATAATTAAACTGAAAAATGTACCAATAACAAACTGTTGCATAATGCTACCAAAAAGTGCTCTCTGGCCCCGAACATTTCTGTGACCGGCCCCTGTGACTTTACTCAGATGTGTAATTCTACTCTCATGTGTTTCCCCCCATTCTGACCTCAGCCAATCCGACTCCAGCAGTGAGAAAGAGAACCCCCGCTCCTGCAGGCCGTCGTCAGGCCAACCGTCTGCTCGCTTCACCTGCAGAGACTCCGCTTATGAAGCTGCCTCTTCGGCCAGCGTCAACCAGGAAGGCCGCAGCCGCCGCCGCCGCCAAACGATAGGAGATCCGGGTGCAGACTTGTCTCCGGCCAGTCAGAGAGAAGAAGGGGAGGGCTGGGACCGGGAGCAGGCAAAGCGGCTGGAGGAGAGGAACAAGTGGTTTGAGGCCGGGGGCCCTCTCAGTGAGATGGGTAGCAGGTGGGACTCCATGGAGCTGAAGAAGGGGAGTGTTCCTGTGCCCACTGTTGAAGCTACAGACTCTGAAGTCAGCAGGAAGTGGGCAGAATTTGAGACGCTGTCATTTGGGGACACGAGTGCGCAGTCTTTCACTGGACCCCATTATCAGGAGTCAAAGTCCCAAACTGTCCATCAAAGCTTTGAAGAAGCTGATCAGGCTGGCTCACTCACTCGTTCATCCACTTCAAATGAAGCCCTTTCTTTAGTAAATGGTGCCCAGATGCATCAAAAGAACAAAGCTGAAGAAATTCAAAAGGAGGTGAGTCAAACTTTAAGGAAGGAAATTTGGAAATCTACAAACGTTGCATATCTTAATCTCTCCTCCCTGTTGACCTCTCAGGCTGTCTGTCTTCAAAAGCAAGTGGAGACAATCAAACAGGAGCGTGCAGTCATGGAGGTAGAGGTGGACAGCCCTTGTGGACCCAGAGCTCCCTGTAGGGCCAAGCTGGAAGCCCTGGTGGTGGCTCATCGAAAGGCCCTACAGGAGCTGCAGGAGAAACACGCTCTGGAGAAAAAAGAGCTGGAAGAGGAGAGAGACCAGCTGCTGCAGGAGAGGAGTCAGGCAGCTGCCAAGGGTTAGATGAGTTTTTATACATGGTTCACTTTTATCCTTCTACTCATGGAAATATAGCAAGAATAACCCATCTTTCCAACTAAATGTTGATCAAAGATTTGGAGGCACTGAAAGCAGCTCACAGGGAGGAGTTGGAGAGAGAGGTGGAAAAGGCCAGGAGGCTGTCTGGAGGAGCAGCACTCATGGATTCCTCCTGCAGAGGTCACATGTAAGTTTATTCTGATAATCTGCTGATAAAAACAGATTCCTCTTTAGGCTCCCTGCATGTCTGGCATTTTCGCCTCTCGGCAATGGCCCCCTCATGTGACGGTGCATTAAAGCCGACTCCAGAACTTGTGTGTGTTGGTGCGTGCAGGCCTGAGGCCGGCGTCATACACGGCGAGTTAAACGTGATGTCAGAGCGCTTCTCCCAGAAATGCCTGGACCTGAACCGAGCCGAGCAGAGCAGCAAGAGCCGAGAGACAGAGCTGGACCGGAAGCAGAGAGAGCTGGAACAACTCCAACGAGAGAACCAGGTTGTTAGATATTAATAATTAAGTGTGGGGTTACATCCAGTTCAGATCTTTTGAACTGGATTCTGTGAAAAGGTTATACAGAATTAACATARTCATATGAAACCCTGTGGTTATTTGCAAGCAGCAGCTAGCAGTTTTTTATTCAGCTTAGTTCTTACAGGAGTTTCATAATATTTCTGCTATAAACATTTATATTATAAATTTTCTGCTTTGAAATTTTGAAGACTGGAYTTTTTATGATGACAGCAAACCACATTTGTCTTTGCCCCCACTGGCTTATTAGCTTATTAATCTGGTCAGACTTAAACTCGTATCTCCCCAAAACAAGATTTTCTAAAGCACTATCTACAACACGTACTGTAAGACATTAACCGTTCCACAGAACCCTACTTCAAAATGTCTGAAACGTTCACAGTATTTCCTCAGAAGATTATTTGAGTGTTTTATTTTGGGMTTTTTTCTAGGAGCTTAAGAACAAGCTGGCAGAGGAGATCAGTCGAATGCGTTATTTCATCACAGGTCAAAGGTCGGATGTGGGCTCCATTTGTAAAACCGAGGACTCTGCGTCAGATTTAGAGGTACTGAGAGGAAAAGTGTGACTGTTGAGCTTTTTTTAAACTCCTGTGAAAGTAGCTGCCAAGTACAAAAACATCCCAATCTTTCCCTATACTCCAACCTAGCATTATTTGCTACAACAATAGAATTTACTTTTAAGTCATCGCTGTGAGCAAAAACAGCACCAGGAACTAAACTTAGGGACTCTGAACACAGTTAAGTCAAACAAATAGGTCAAAGCATTTTTTTCCCTGTTTTTGTCTTGTATCCACAATAAGTCCCTGCAGGAGCAGTTATTTTATCCTATGGCCTCATTTGTGTTGAGCACGCATCATGCTGAAGCACACACTGCCACCTATTGGTCATATTCCTGTACTTTTCTAATGTTGCACATCATCAGTAGAAGTCTGGTGATGAAATACAAATATGAACTTGTGACAGTACATGCTGAGGAAAAACAGTAAAAACTTATTAAGGTTATTTGTCAAATTGACTGACTGATGARGTGGAAATAGCACAAGATCTGAATGTGTTTCAGATGCAGTTAAAAGCAAAGGAAAATGAGGTGCAGTATCTTAAGAAAGAAATCAGCTGCTTGCAGAATGAAGTACAGTCGCTTACCAAGGTATGTCTTATCATTTTACTCACCATAAGTTAATAATATTTAGATATACATTTCAAATCAGGATTTGCTGATCATGTTTGTCTTAAACCCAGGAGAAGGAGGCAGCCTACAAGCTTTATAAGGAGGCCTACGTGGAGCTGAGCGACACGAGGGGTCGGAGCCAGCTGGAGATGAGCTCCCTCAACGAACATCTGAAACTGGCCAACGCTGCGCTGCAGGAGGGAGCCGAACAAACCTGAACAAATCACCTAAAAAAATGACTTAACAGATCAAATACTGTCTTGACATAAAACGTATCGTAAATTTATCACACCACTTTGACTGGTGACTAACTAGACTGTTAAAGAAATAAAAAGCAACACGTGTTTTCCACATGTAAACGATTCTGTTTATTGGAGCTGACACAACATGCAAACAAGAGTGAGGGCTGGTAGTTCTGCTAGCCTCACACGACATGTGATTTCTCACAAACAGGATAAATATCAAAGGGACGATGGGTGGATGTAAAGGATGTCTTCTAGAAGCTGAAGTTCTTTATCTGCCCCATCCATTTAGTGCCAGCTGGTTGCTTACGCAAAGCACCCTATGGATATACACATGTTTTACAAAGTCATACATTAGCAAGCACGTATCAATACAAAAACAAACTGTATCCTTTACCACATTAAGATCCTATGTGAATTATTACGCATGTGCAGAAGGCACTTTACGTCTTAAAGGGTTAACATGCTGCAGCTGACACACCCAGCACACAGGATAAGATTACACACAAAAGGTTCACACAACCTTAAAGAGAATATTGAGGTGTGGCTCAAGGACACATTCCAGTTACCTCTCAGTACGCCGCAAATTTAACTCAATCATCGTCGTCGTCATCTTCAGGTACAAAGATGTCGTGCTCCTCCAGGAGAGCGGCAAAGTTCTTGCTGATCAGAGTTCCCACATAAAGGAAAGGCACCACCACTGCTGTCATCCTGATGAGACCGAATGGAGTCTGTTAAACACACACAAGTGAAAAGTTATTGTTAAATCATGGAACCCACCTGTTTGGTTAATAGTAGTCTGGTGTAGATTTAATCTGCAAATCTGAATTTAGTATATAAGCCCTGATGTAAGAGTAGCATATTATGACCATTATCGAAATATGAGAGCATACTAAATGTATTTAAAAACACACACACACACACACACACACACACACACACACACACACACACACACACACACACACACAAAAGTAAATGTTCAAGCATAAGTGGATAAGCAAAAACACAAATGTTATATACAGCAGAAAAAGGGAACATATAAGTGTGTATCCAACAAATAACAGTAGCATCACAGCAAATTTTACTAGAATTAGTTTTATCAATAATTAATTTATCTGTGAATATTGTCATTTATGTTATTTATTTTGGTATTTTGTCTTTTGTTGTACCAAAAATACAAATATTTTGCATTTCCATTTTGATGTTTCGTCCAAAACAATARGAAAATGGTATGGTCTTAAAATCAAAACATATCACCGAAAAACATCCTACTTTGACACTTAATATTTCTACATAAAACAACCTTGGATAACGACTTGAAATGACAGCATTAAAGGTAAATACTTCCTGTATTTGCACAATCACACGTTCATTGGCTGAATGGAGAACGCTAGCAAATCTCCTGCATTATTATTCGCCTATGTTGCTGTCAATAAAGCATTAAGTCCCGCCCATTCTGTTTCCTCTCGGTTTTTCCGATATGGTAAAGGTAGAAAAACACTCACTTTTTCGGGTTTCGGGAGGATTGCTCCTGACTGTGTGGATACCACGGTCCTGCTTTGATTCGTCCTAAACAAGCATGATATTTTCGATTTGGGATTACGGGTCGTAATGCCCATATTCCTGAGGGAAAGCCGCAGCGGTAGGCGCAGCATACTTGCCGCCATCTTTCTTTCTTTTTTTTTTTTTTTTTTTTTTTTTTTTTTACAGTCGCAATGGGATTGGTGGGACTGGGTTGGCTTTACTTGTGGGCGGGGCTTAATAAACCCATAAACAGCATTTGTACCTCAAAAACGTTTAAATATTAATGTTATGTTGGGTATCCTCACCAGTTAAATAATGTGCCCAACAAATGAAACAATCAGAGCAATCATCATAACATAATGCACAATATGATCTGACAAATTGTCAGTGGTGAAAACATGTCGAAACATTTTGTTTTTTGAGTATTTACTGACAAATAAGAAGCATTTAATCACCGAAAAAATACTGATCAAACTTGGATGTAAGAAGACCACATGCCTGATTTGATTTGCAAGCAGCTGACACGTCTGGAGAGAGGTACTGTAATCAGGCAGTTGCCAGAACGTAGCTGTTAATTAATGCTAGGTTTGTTTGATATTAATTATTCTGTTTATAGTTTCAGCATAAGTGATGCACATTGAAATAAGTTTCCATGCCGGCCCAAAATGAGTAGAAACATCTAAAAAGCCAAACCAGTGAAGTTATTGCCGTGAAATTCCGATGGAAGGCTGTGTTCAATCAAGCGCGTGAGGCCGACGGCTGCACTTCCTAGGTGTAGAAGAAGAATCTGAGCGCGCGCGCTTTGCGGTGGAGGAACTAGAAAGGCGGAAGAAGACGAGAGGACATTGAAAAAAGCTTGATAACTCCTAGCTGACTGGCCAGAAACGCAATTAGATGCTGTGTTAACAGCAGAGTGGCTCCTCTTTTCATGCATATTTAGTTCGCCGATGAAAAACGCCCTGACTACGTTCAGTCACCGCTGCTTCAACTCGCCTCATGAGTCGAGAGACGCGACTCGTGGAGTCCCAGAGAGGTTGCATTTGTCCCATCCGCCCCGAAGCAACCCGCGTGACACAAAGTTGCATTTAACTTGAGCGAAAGTGCTGTGATACCCATAAAGGGACGATATATTGTCCTTTTTTTACGAACCGGGACTTTAATATTTTTGTGGGGGGAAAGTTGTCCGTATAGGAGAGGCCTGACCGCAAGTGTGCAAGGAGCGCCCGCTGCTGCCGAACCGAGGACGGAGCCACAAATCGGTAACAAACATGTCGGCCCAGGCCCAGATGCGAGCGATGCTGGACCAGCTAATGGGGACGGGGAGAGACGGTGAGCCTAACACCTCGTGTTACAAACCGGTGACTAATACAGCTATATGACAGGACTTTGTTGTTGGTAGGATTAGCCACTAAGCTAACTCTTGCTAATTGGTCAGGCTAGCTAACTGGGCAGCTAGCTGCTCAGTTACCTGTTGTATTTCACTTTACTACGACGTGTCCTTCAACTTTACATCTGGTTATTACATGAAACAAATCACATCGAGTGCGCTTTCATTCGTAGTTCCCTATTTTACAGTTACGTGTTTACTCTTACTATCTGATTGTGTCCAACTAGCAGCTAACTTTAGGCTTCCCTGCCTGGTCAGAAAGATACAAGCAGCTGAGGTTACATGGATGAAATGAGGGGCTGGGTTACTCTGCTACAAATAACTGGTTCATTAATATCATCAGTCTTTCATTAGAGGAGATATGGGACATGATAATGCACAGGTTAAATGCCACATAAAAACTGTAAAACTCATGTGTTCTGCTGTTTTTCCCCTGCTACAGGAGACACCATGCGGCAGAGGATCAAATTTTCAGATGATAGAGTCTGTAAAAGCCACCTCTTGGATTCATGTCCCCATGACATCTTGTCTGGCACTGTAAGTATAATGCATACAGTTACACAAAGAAAACTATATGCAAACTTGTTTCATTGTTTTAGGGTCCAATGTATAAATGATGTCACCATATGAGTGTCAGATAATATCTCGCAACTGAAGAGAAACAGATACTCCTCATCAGCCAAAAGATTTTTAAAAAAGTATAAGTAAATGGACAATAACCTAAATTTTAAGTCATATTCATATGACCAAATTGTGACTTATTTGAGAAAAATTCTTGAAAGTTAGAGTTAAAAAATTCATGTTTTTATGACTAGTAAATTTGATTATAACTCTGCCTTGGCCACATTATCACTGGATTTGAAATTGCACAACCCTAACTATTGTTTTTCTGGTCACTTTATCATTAAATCTAATTGCACTACTCCAAATACATTGTCTTCTCTAATTACCATATTGAACTGGTGTACATATGTTTTATATATTTTATTCTATTTTTTTCCTTTTTCCTTTGTATTTTCTTTGTTATATTTTATACTTATTGCACCTTTACACCGAAGCAAATTCCTAGTCTGTGAATCCTGTTCATTGACAATGGCAATGAAACTGATTTTGATTTTGATCCTGATTAATGTGATGACCTATTTACAGCCTCCCAAAATCTGCTGTACACAGACTACAGCTGATTTAAATTCAAAATCTTAGTAAAGTGAMAGTGGCAGACTGGTTGATTTCTCAGAATTGCAGGAAAATTATAAAAATAAATAAATTCCCTGCCATCTCACTGAAATTTGAGTGTTTTCAACCAAAGAACTAGTGAGCCGTGTGGCCAGTTTTTGAAACTTGTAACCTTGTTTTAGCGTAGTGAGATACCACCTGTATGAGTGGATTACACAATCTAAAACAAATCTGTAAAATAATATATAGCTGTTCACTGGTCACACTTGCATATTCTTGTATCAGATTAACAAATTAGTAGTAAAGTGATGTGCATCATTTTGTGTTTTTTTTATTTTTATTTTTTATTTTAGAGAATGGACCTGGGAGAATGTGCTAAAGTCCATGATTTGGCCCTAAGAGCAGATTACGAGATCGCCTCAAAGGAGCGAGAATACTTCTTTGAACTTGATGTAAGTTTTACARACACACATTTAGACAGTTTTTGATGATGTAAAAGAATAATAACAGACGCAGTCCCATTGTTTTATTTCATTCATATCAATTCACATCTTATCAAAAATTTTGCTGTTAGGCTATCATTTGTAGAGGATTCACACAGTGTAACAGCCACAGACTGTYCATTTAGATGACCCTTTACAACACATGAAATATAGTTACTGAGTGATGCGATGTGTTTTCTGTCAGGCTGCTGAACACCTCCAGTCTTTCATCGCTGATTGCGACCGCAGAACTGAGCTGGCTAAGAAGCGACTAGCTGAGACGCAGGACGAGATCAGCGCTGAAGTGGATGCAAAGGTCAGAAACACTTTGCTGTAGTTGGTGATAATACTGTCGGTTTTTAATGTGAGAAAAGCAGCACTTCACACAGTACTGATTGTCAAGAATCGGTGTATCTTCTGCTTTTCAATCTTTTGTCTCTTGTTGCACCTGCCACGAAAAGGCCGAGCGTGTTCATGAGCTGAACGAAGAGATCGGCAAACTGCTGGCCAAGGCAGAGCAGCTGGGGGGCGAAGGAAATGTAGATGAAGCACAGCAGTTGCTGGAGAAGGTGGAGAAAACCCGGATCTTAAAGAAGGAAGCAGAGGTTRGTAATGGATTAATAATGCTTATGACTGAAAAGCTGTCAATATTTTGCCCTTGTCTCTGTCTGCATGCCTCTGTTAGCGAAATATCTGGACTAAATTTAACAAAACATACAGAAAGTATCCAAACAGTAACAAACAGGTCAAAAACTTTGAAATTTTTTGGAAGATGATTGAAGTTTAACTTTGAAATGTGTCTTAAATAATTATTGCAATTGCTTAAACAGATGCTTAATGTACTACAATTGCAAYGTTCTTCTGCTCCCTAAAACAAAACCTTTTGTTCTTGCAGGATGTCTACAGAAACTCGATGCCGGCCTCCAGCTTTCAGCAGCAGAAACTCAGAGTGTGTGAGGTGTGCTCAGCCTACTTAGGCCTCCACGACAACGATCGGCGTCTTGCTGACCACTTTGGGGGCAAACTTCACCTTGGTTTTATTGAAATCCGTGAAAAGCTTGAAAAGCTTAGGGTAAGGGTTCGGGTTGAGGCGATAAAAATCATTGGAGTTGCCATGAACTAAAGGCCATAGAAAATGAGTAGAATTTGCATTTGCGAGATTATTCCACCAAAGTATTTTGTCCTGTTAACTTGATTGTTTTTCTTTTCCAGAAAGCTGTTGTAGAGAAACAAGAGCGAATGCGTATGAGAAGGCGAGAGGAGCGGGAGAGAGACGATGAAAGGGAGCGACAGTGGGAAATGGAGCGGGAGCGAGAGAGGGAGCGGGAGCGTCAACGAGAGTGGGAGCGGGAAAGGGAAAGAGAGCGAGAACGGGAGCGAAGGAGGTAAACTGTCAGCTGCAGCAGATAATCTACACACTGAGACCGTCCCTGATCATCACGAAACACACTCTGACTTTGGTTGTTTTTCTGGTTTCAGGTCCAGATCTAGAAGTGGAGAGCGGTACAGGTAGGCCTGCCCTAATCTCTTCAAGCTCATTTATGGCTGTGGCAGATTTCATGAGCTACAAATTAACATTTGCAATAAAAAATAAGATTTTTCTGTTGGTTTAGTCTTTATTCTGTTGTTTTTAAAATCGTTTTAACACATTTAAAATACAGCTTTATAAGACGAATAAATAGGATCACAACTTCTCTTGTGTGTTACAGTGATTATACTTTATTCCTTTCTTCATTAAAATAWTTTTTTTTCCAGGGATGAAGGCAGCTCGTCTTCCCATCGTTCAAGACGTCACCGCTCGTCTCGTTCCAGAGAAGATGGCACCGATCGGGACAGGGAGCGAGAGAAGAAACATCGACACAAAGACAGACATCGTTCACGCTCCCACTCTCACAGGCACAAAAAGAAGAGGTGTGGATGTTCATCAGTTTGGCTTTTATTGTGCTCCATTCACCGTAATCTTCATAAATGTTTTGATATTAAAACTTGACCGTCTTTTCGATTTTCATTTGCAACTATTTGTTTCTCCTTCAGATCCCCCAGAGACAGATCCTCCCACACTCGCGACAAAGAACGCTCACCGTCCCAGGAGAGGTTGCAGGAGCGCCCGGGAGAGGGATGGCGAGACAACAAGGCAGAGTGTGGAGACTGGGAGGACAAGGAGCGGTCCGTTTCTCCAGACATGGCCCTGAGCAGGGAGCGAGAGCGATCCCTGTCCTACGAGCGAGACCGGCGGTCCAGCTCTGAGGAGCGAGAGTCCGGGGAGATATGAACATGCAACGAGTTTGATTTGAATATGTTGAGTAAAAAGGAGTGCATTTGTTTGTCGACCTTAAGGACGTTCAAATCAGGACATGTACATACGGATGGTGGGGTTCAAGGAAAACAAGCTTTCTAAGATTTTGTTAGATAAGATTTACTGGAGAGCTGTACAGTCATTTTGAATTTCATCATCTCAACCTGATCTTCAGTTATTCACCAGGACACGGAGAGTGAGTCAACAGATTGCAGCCCAAATTTCATTCTGTTTTATTTTTATTACATGCCTGGTTTTTTTTCTAATCATCAGTTGGATCTCAGTATAGATTTTTTTTTTCTTGCTGCCTAAAGTCCTATTAGTGGAATCTGAAGATGCAGTGATGACTGTTTTTGGAGAATAAGATCAGTCCTGAAATAAGTCATTAAGTATTTTTCCTCTTAAATGGATACATGATGGCTTATTTACATATTCGTGCCGATACTGTGATGCTGTTTGGACTTAACTGTGGGAGTTTGGGGAGGGAGAGGGGTCTACTTTGCAGTGCCACCTCAATGTGAATAAAATCTGTAGCTTCTGTTTAAATGGGTCTGCTGCAGAGTTCTTTAACTTGTTACAGCTTGAATGAAGCGTTTTTAGTAACACCACAACCTCCACTGTCACAACTGTGTTTACAACTGCTCCAAGGTTGCCAAATAAGTGTCAATCAAATGTGTTAAAGCACGGATGTCCCATTAATGATTAAGACATTTTAAAAACTTTGTTAAACTGAAGGAAGAGAATCCTACCTGCCCCCTTTAGAAATGTTTTAATTTTTTAAGTGTTTAAAAGTTCAAAGCATTACCAACCATTTATAAAACTGTTCCTACATCGAAGCATGCTCACTATTGTACTTCTTTTTAATTTGTTGAAAGTTTAGCTCACTTTTAACTAATTTACTTCATTTGCCAAATTGATTTTGCAAAACGTTTAATGTATGAATGGTGTTTCATAATGGTTTTGTTAATCGGGTTTATAAAATCTTTACAAACTCAAACATTTATATTGCATTTAAAAAGGTTATTTTTAGCAGATAAACATTTTTGTGACCAAATATGAGAAGTAGAGCTGTTTACACCAAGAAAATAAAAGTACTCCTTCCAATGAGAAGAAAATGTAAAACTAAAAATATATTTTAAAATCTAATGGGGATTCTTTAATGTTGGATTTCTGTTCCCTTGAAAAAATAAATTGTAATTAACTTAAAAACGTTCATGGCTGCGGATGCAGGAGTGTACCTAGCAGCTACCTTTTA